TCTTTAGAGAATTTGGAAAGTCACCTACACCTAGACAATAGCTGAATGTTTTACACAGAATATATACATGTCTTGCAAAGCTTAAAAGATTGGTTTCAAGCATGTTTTTTCCAGCCTGCTGTTGACAATAACATTATAAAATGCTTTTGTATGTGATTTTTTTGCAAAAGCCATCTTGAAAATGTGCAGTACTATTATTCCAGACCTTTGACCTTATGTAAAATTCAGATGTAGATATGTAAATCAATTAGTTAATTGTGAATGATTAGTCTGTCTATTCATTTTATTCATTTTCTGCTGCTTATCCAGGTCTTGGTTATGTTTAATGATTGATTAATAATATTATTAGGAATTGTTATATGCTGCTGGGAAAACAAAAATGTGATTGAATATCAACACATTCATGCAATTGGGTAAATAATTCTAGGCCTTACTTACACTGGTTTTCATTTCTATTTTTATATATTGGCTGGTATTTTTGTGAAGTGAGTATTAAATTGCATTTTTTTGTGTTTTTAAAAAGGGTCCTAAATGTAACTTTGATGAAAACCGAAGATACCATGTTTACAGCTGAAAGTCTCAGGCTCATAGCAGCTGTTACAAGTTCAGAGAGAATAATAAGAAAACAAAGGCAGTCGAATAATTAAATTACAGGATCCATTTAATTTAAAAATTCTGCAGTGAGTGTTAAAGACTTTCTCATAGCAACATCACAAGTGCAGGTGTAAATAATAAAATTAATGGCTGAATTTAATTCAGCTGCTTCCCTTTCAGGGTCCTGGTGTTGTGCATGCTGGCTCGTTGTCGCTGTTATGACTTACCAGGACACTTGAATAGAACAGAACCATCATTAATGTTATTAGTAACATGTGCTTTTACTACCACAAGAAGGTCAAAGTGTCTGCCATGAAAAAGGCCCATTGCAGACATCTTAGATCAAGTGAAGTTTATATCTTACCGTGTTTATTGTAATTAAACTCAGTGCACGTGTATAGGCCTACATATTGTTTGTCTGTGTTTTTCTCAGACATGGCTGCTATTGTATTGGTCGAGTTAAAAGATGTAATGAAATGGAAAGCCAGGTAACTGCATTGCTACATTATTTCACACTGTTCTTCTTGCCATTTATGATTTGAAATGAAGACCAGAACCAAAAAGGATCTTCAGGCTAAGATGATCTTAGCCCATAGACTTAAGATAGGACTAAGATCACCTTAGCCCTAAAATGCTTTTGGGAAATAGTATCCATCTAGTGAAGCACTATGACAATAAAATAATTTATCCAGGAAGGGTTGAGCATATTCTTTTTTCTTTGAAATGTGCAAATAGTTTATTATTTATTAGTCTCCAGTCTCTTGGATCATATCAATATCCATGTTTCATCAGGATGAACTTAATTTGTTTTCACTTTTCTTAACTAAGTTACAAAGAGCTTTAAAGGGGAAACAAAATTAGCTAAGACAATTAGTGTCGGACAAAAGACAATTAAGTCATAGAGGATTCCTGTTGTCTAAACATCCTGTTTTCTAAACTATCTTCAAATAGAACTCACTTGACCTTTTTCAGATCTAAGAGTTGAATCTCATGACTTGAAATCTCATGATCTGTGGCTCACAAAAGGTTGATTTGTTCAGACTTTTATGTAATGTTTGGTGTCATCACATTAGAAATCAATATTTACTTTTTATCTATTGACCGAGGACATAGTCTCCTATATCTGTATTAGATTAGATTAGTTTATCATAACTGAATACCCAGAGGATACATTTTCATTTGAATCTTTGCAGTGTGTTTACGCATGCAGCTGTTAAACACTCCACTAGAGGGAGACAATTGCCTGTGAAGTTACTCAGCAATCAAACATGTTTTGCTGGAGTTTGTACAGAAAACACACTGCTGTTGCATCATTTAATTTCCTCCTGCCATATGACGTTAGCAATGCTGAAATAGAAGTTATGCAATTGACACTTTTTTTTTTCCTTTTGTGATTTGTTGAGAGCTTTGTAATTTGTTTCTGTAAAACATGTAGAAAAATCAAATTAAAAGGGAATAATAGAGGAATCATCATGACACAAAAAAATGTTGTAAATGTATACAGTGATAAAAGTCAGTCAACTAACCAATTAGCTGACTAACAGAAAATATATCACATATTAATCACACATTTGCTGACGCCACCTATACAATGTAAGGATTTGCTTCTTTTTTATGTTTCACATATTTTTAATCATGTAAAAATACATGGGTTTTGTACTGTTGGCCAGATGAAACAAGACATCTGAAATCATTGTGCCTTGTGATCTAAGAACTTATGATGGGCATTTTCCACTATTTTTGACATTTCATAGAAAAAACTATTTATCCATTACGCAAATAAATAATTAGCATATTAACTGATAATGAAAATAATTAGTTGCAGCCCTTGTTGATGGGTCAAGGGAACAAATCTCTGAGGTCGTCAACAGTATCATTATTATTATTATTGTATTTATTATTACTATTAAATTATTATTATCATTATTCTCTTCAGTGCTCTCTTTGCTCATTCACTTAAAGATTATCATTGGGCCAAACCCATGTTATTTTTAAGTACTTGAGGTAATACCAATAATATTCCTACTGACATTATTTCAGTCTGCACAGCTGATTTTAACCACAGTATGACAAATCCTGACTAGTAATAGTGTTGAAATGATACACTGGCATTCAGTCAATTCAGCAGAAGTCATTTTTTATCTCCAGGGAAACCATGAGGTGACTTACAGGAGCTGTAGCTCTTGCAGCAGGTTGCATCAGTCTCATCAGATTGGGCCCAAATTGCTGCGAAGAGCGCCCCTACAGCCACTCTCTCAGCATGACTAATGCAAGGTGAAACTACCGTCACATTTCAGTGTGTGTGTGTGTGTGAGGAGACAACTGAGCTCATATTTACCATCAGCCAAGGACATATGTGACATAGTCAGCTCAGATATCAGGGAGTGTTACTGATAAAAGGATTTACAGCACTGAATCAGATGAAACAGCCTCAGCCGAGAGATAAGACTGGGTTAATATGGAACTAGTGATACAGGAGAACATCAGGGAAAGTACAGTTGTTTTCACTTGAACCTTCCTGGCTTTATGAAAAAATATCAAGATGTTACAGAAACCAGACAGACAAGTGTGTAGTTCAAAACATTTTATTGCATTTTTTTTTTTTTTTTTTTTAGAAAAACAATACAAAAATCTGCAACTGTCATAAATGTTGCCTTGAGTGAACTGCAATCATTCACATGGTACAGTAAAGTGCTTATTTTAAATCAAAATTCTTTTTGTACTTAAAGGATGTATTTATTTCAGATTTCTTCCCAATGAACACAGTGGGTTTGGGGTGATTCAGACAGTGTTAAAAATCAAAAAATTGTTGGAGGACTATCAATTTAGACAGAATAACCCCACACCATGTCCATGAAATGAACTGTTCATAAAACATTTGATCAGTGTTGCTGGATTGTAAATGCTTTTGCCTTAGGGCTACATTCAAATTGTGGGGAGGTTGATGAACTGTCCATTTGAATAAATGACTGAATGAATTTTAACACTTCCTTACGTCAAAATGACATACAATATAAAAGTTGGTAGGCTTGAAGATATCATTTTGTCCCATTATCCCCAATAAAAGGCAGTCCAGAAAGCTACTGCCATTTGACAAAAAGTAGAAATGGTCATGACCAAGAAAACTCTCATATACCATTCAGGATATCACAGAGTATGGCCAAAGTCTGTGCGTTTCTGAGTATCCAACCCTATCAAAAAGTAGGGACTAACTTGTGTGATGCTCAAAGGGGAGAAAAAGGCAGAATACTGAACTGTATAGGTATTTTAAAACCCCAAGATTGCCTTGATCATCAGCTTAATGCTTTGAGATTACTGATAGCAAAGTAGTTTCCCAAATGGAGAAGAAACAGCTGCATACACAAATTCAAGTAAGTCTTATTATAAGACATAAAACCCCATAACGATGCATCTGTAGAAAGGTATTTTTAGAACTATTACAGTGTCCTAGTATCAACATAATGGGTCCTTTGACACCATTTCCAGAGTACCGTCGCTGCAGTGCTGGCAACAGGACATGGACAATCAGAAGTTCCCCACTTCTCACTGCTAGGTGATGGATCACATATTCAATGTCATGACTTGAACCCTCTTTGGTGAAATGGCTACAGTGTTGTGAGACCACCTCATCACCAGTCCATTACCTGTCAGTCTTAGAATGAGCTTTAACTTAATCTGAACAATAACAAAAAAAGATTATTGCCAAATCTTACATTTATAAAAAAAAAAAAAAATTAAAAACTTGCCTTCACTGGGCATGAACGCTCCAGATGAACTTAAACTCTTCTTTCGATCTTCTCACCTCATACACCACATACTCTGAACTTTTAAAAACACAAAACATTAAAAAAAAGAAAAAAAAAGAAAAAAAACAAAGGAAAACATCCGGTGTTTCACCTGAACTGAACAGCACCTGCATGGAAATCACCACATAGAAAATAGAAGCTTATTAACAGCCATACAAAAAAGGGGAGGGGTAGAGGGGGAGAAGAAAAAAAGAATAAAAAAAAATAAAATAATCAGTGTGGCACATTGACATGGAGTTCTCAAACATCAAAAATAAAGTAAACTTAATACAGCTACACATCCTTGGAAGACTTTTTTTTGTCGTTTTTCTTTTTGTGGAATGTTTTTCCTTTTTTTAATGTTTCTTTTTAGAAAAATCTCATCTGTCTTATTTTGTAATGAGAATTTATAATGTCATTTTTAAATGGGTGTGTCATGAAAAACAAGACAATGGTGAACCCTGGAAAAGAAATGATGGTCCAAATAAATATATTTGATCAATAAATGACACTGATCACATTGGCCAAAATGTGCTTTTCAAACTCCTGATAGGAGCTTTAACCTTTACTACCAAGATATTTAAGGTTAAGTCTTATGCATAAATTGAGTTGTAGAAAAAAAAACAAAAAAAAAAAATATGAAAAAGGAAAAAAAAAAAAAAAAAAAAAAAAAAAAACACAAGTTCTGGTTGTGGCAAGGGGACATGTCTTGATTTCTCTACAGTGAAAGTAACAATGACCCAGTTTCACTTGCCAGTTAACATACTGTATAGTCAGCCTCTACCAACATACCAGGTATACTTCAGAGCAAGCTCAGAAGTCTTATTTTGGGGCAGGCATGCATCATAGTTTAATTTAATACCATTAGACTTGCCTGATGGTGTCATAAACACTATATATATATATAACAAACTGTATGAATTGGTGCAACAGTAAGTCATGGCTGGCTGGGTACAGACAAACATTCTTTGCTTTCAGAGCATTAAGTGCATGGCCACCAGGCTGGATGAGTGTGTTTCATCTCAGACATTTACAGAGGAGGCTCAGTTGTGAGGAATTTGTCTTAAATGAAGGAAAAAAAAAATCTTTGATGAGTCCCCAGCCACACAATGGACCGCACCAGGCACGGACAGCATTGGCTTACAGCCCTTCCAGCCCCTTATACTGAATCCCTTCGAGACAGGAACAGCCTTCATCTTGGCATATTGCATAAGCTTGTACGTATCTGCAGATGGACCATTCATGCATACACATACAGGCAAAGAGAACATTCCAGATAACTTAATTCACAGTGGATCCAGTTGTAACATGGGAGCAGCACAACAGGTTGTCCTTTGGTGTCTGAGCTTAGTTTCGAAGATAAGTGTTCTGATTTCTTCTGAACTGAGTTATATGAAAAAAGAACATAACAAAAATACTTCTCTCTCTCCCAAATCATTAACTGGCCCTCCTCCCCAACCTGGACGAGCACATATTTGTGTGTTTGCTATATGCAGGCCCTGGGCTAATGTGCTTCAGAAGTGCTGCAGAAGGGCAGAAGGCATTTAGAGGAAGGGCTGCAAGCAGCATCTCCCTTTACAGAGAGGCAATAAAGCCTGAATGGCAGAGGAACCAAGGCCAGCTAGAGTCAAAGAGAGGGGCCAGAACTGGGGAGGGAGAGTCTCAGGGGAGTCTTAGATCTGGACTTGAATCTTAACGGAAGGTTGGAGGTCAGGGCTGACCAACTTCAGGCACAGTCTCCCACAATAACCAGAGGGGCCAAGAGCTGACGGAGCTCTGCAGCAGAGACAGGCCCTCCCTTGGGCTGGCTGCTTCGCTGCCTGCGCCTGGCCAGCTTGGAGTTGGAAGGAGGAGAGAGGCGCATAGAAGAGCCAGTAGCAGTAACAACAAACGGGGCTTCTTGCTGCTGCTGATCTTCCATGCCATCCTGTTCAGCCAGCTGCCGATTCACAGCCATGGCTTTGTCAGCAAAGAATGTCAGATCCCTGGCATTGCTGGTTCTAATGGACAAGAATATGAGACAAAAACAGCCAAAATGTGAACAACGTACATATTTTAAGTTGCAAATATATCAGTGTCAGAGGGAATAGAATCTTCTGTAGCTGTAACTCTAATGCCTTCTCACCTTTGATGCAAGATAGATGTTGGCAAAGTGTCAGACGCACCCTGAATGAAAAAGATAGATATGTTTATTGGCTAGAAACAAAACTCTTAAACCACAACATGAGAAATGTGTGAAAAAAAAAAAAAATGAACAGATGGCTTGGTGGTTTTAGACTTACCCCCTGCACCCAGGGGTGCTGCAGCACCTGGCTGGCACTCAGGCGGTTTTTGGCATCCCGAACCAGAAGTTTGGATATTAGGTCTTTGGCACTTGAGGAGATGTGAGCCCAGTCTTTCTCTGGAAACTCGTATTTTCCTTCCTGGATACTCTCAAATAAAGTGTTCTGAAAATGGACACACATTTATTTATTTATTTTTAAATCAATTACCTTGACCTGAATGGAGAAGATTGATAGTGCTAAAGTTTCACTCATGTCCTGCAAGATATAGGAAGGGTGAAGGACTAAATGAGTGTGTCAAATTCTTACCTGGCAGGTGTGGCAGGGCTCCCCTAATTCCCAGCCACAGTCACCACCACAGCGGCCTACAAATGGTGGGTAGCCACTCAGCATGATGTAGAGGATGACTCCAAGGCTCCACAGGTCACAGCGCTTGTCATAAATTGTAGCCTCCTCACTGAAGGCCTCAACCACCTCAGGTGCCATGTACTCTGCTGAACCACACTGTGAAAAGACATGAATACAAAAAAAAAAAAAAAAAAAAAACAGTGGTTCAGTTTGTCAGGCCAGAGGGTGACAAGTGGAAAAAACAAACTACAGCAGAAAAAGAGTAAAAAAAAGAAACACAGGTTCCTTGGTTCCTTTTGGCTGCTATCCACATTCCTTCATTCAGCTGATACCTCGTGGTTGAAACTCTAAAGCCTTTGGGCGTACTCTTTGGTTGTGCAGTGGTGGTCTGGGGCAGCCTATGTGACAGTCACATGCTTATCTGCCGTGATGATTTGTTCAAAATGTACTATATAGCTATTCTAGCCTCTCTTCATGTTTTGAAGACACAAAGTAGGAACGTTGTGTACAATTGCATATCAAGGGTAGAGAAAGACGGCTGAGCTATAATGAGGCAGGTTAGTGTGGGTAGGTAACAGCAGTGAGTCACTGCTATGACCATCCAGCTGTACAGAAGCCAGGCTGAACTGGCTGACGGCAAGGATAGGCTCAGCTCTGATGGTGCCTTGTTATGTAGCTAAGAAAAAAAATTAGGCCAAACACTGAGCAGGGAAAAGAGGATTGGCTGTCCTGCAGAGACTGGGCTGAGCCCTTGCCTGTTACATAACTTGGAAACACAAACACCAAATGCTGTTTTAATACGTTAGGAACAGAAAAGAGGAGCAGGTCGCTAGTTCAACAGGACACAGATATTTATGGATAAGACATTTTAATGCTGCCTTATTCTATTAACTTAAAAAATAACATTTATACATATGAAGTGAACCCTGTTTCACTTCAAGAGTTGGGATTCTTTGAAATGTGTAGAGGGTGTCCTAACAGACAGCATCTGGTATAAATTCTGAGAACCTGCTCTGAGAATACCTGTTCATTCATCCATCCTTTGATTTATTATTATTATTATTATTAAATTATTTTTAAAACTATAGTATACAGCAATGCACATTTTGAAATATTTGTAAAACCTGCATCCTGACAAACCCCTCTGGCCTATATCCTTCTTTCATCTGTGGAGGTGCATGTTTACATTGAGCAGGCATCTATTGTGTTCCAGTGCTATATCCCAGCTGTCTCCTAACTCCACCTCCACCCCACTGCACCCTTATGTAATGAAATTTGCTGCACAGGAATCTCAGACAAAGCTGCTTCAGTCGGAGAGAAAACCCCAACCCCCACATTTCCACCAACAACATCGTGTCTGGGGCGACTGCCTCCACAGACAAGCTTACAGGATTCAGGCCAAATACTGCTGCCACACACAGACAAATAAAAAGACACAAGCACAAAGGATATTTTTGCCTACCAAGGTGCCCTAAAACTGAAATGCAATTTAATAGCTGTGCTATCAAAAACAGCTATCAGGGCTAATCTTGTTTAAAAGCCACCCAAACACACTGCCAATCAAAGACAATTCAAGATTAAGAGCCTGTCCAGGACTGGCTGCAACTGTCACCAATAAGAGCTGAGAGAAAAAAAAAAAAGAAAAAAAAAAAAGAGAGGGGTAAACAGCAATCATGGTTCTGGCACAGCCTCAAATTAAACTCACATTTGTTCTTCCTGTGCTGCTGTTGCAAACACCTTGTGCACTTGCATCAGTCACATCCTCCTCAAACCTTCCTGTAAGATGCAGATAGTTAGCTAATCAGCTGCTGTTATCACAGGGTTGGTTGGTATTGCAACCTGGGGCTTTCCTGAAACCATGTGACTAGTCAGACCATATAGACAGCACTGATGACGCACACCTCTGCTGTTTGTCAACTACAGGATTATCTGAAGAGGCTTAGAGGAAGGGGACCTGTTCTGTCATTATACAGCTGTACCTGCATCTGTGACATGAACAAATAACTGATGCGGTTCCTTTAATTCTCTTTAACTGTCTAAGCTGCTGGTGTGGAGTGTCTTCGTGTTGCAGTTCCATCCAGTTCACTACTGCTGCACATGAGCATTGACATTTGAACAGTCAGATTTATTTCATGCCGAGCAGATGGGCAGGCAGTCACTTGTGCAGTGTTCTTAGTAAACTAAAATTAGCCGTTTCCTAGAAAAGGTCCTTCTCCCGTTCCCTGCATTCCTGGTGCTTATACTGGAGAGCACAAACACATTCACAGTAAACATTTGTTACAGCCCTTCGATAAAGTTGATTCAATGGGATCAGGAACTTGAGCAATAAATGCGCAACCACATTATATTGTGCAACAGCAACTGTAGGAATGTGGGCAAATGAGGGGGCAGGGTGAGAGTGCCAATAGTGAGATGAAAATCAGATAACATTGTTCCTGTGATCAAGGCAAAGAAAACAAGCCAGAGCGCATGAGCAGCCTGGGTATTTGTCCCTCCCAGTTACCCTCCCCCTCCCACTGTTTAGCCAATCACATCTCAGTTGCTAGGTGTGGGGGGGGGGACTGTAGGAATGTGGGCAAATGAGGGGGCAGGGTGAGAGTGCCAATAGTGAGATGAAAATCAGATAACATTGTTCCTGTGATCAAGGCAAAGAAAACAAGCCAGAGCGCATGAGCAGCCTGGGTATTTGTCCCTCCCAGTTACCCTCCCCCTCCCACTGTTTAGCCAATCACATCTCAGTTGCTAGGTGTGGGGGGGGGGGGGGGG